TATCCCTACAGCCCTTAGCAGTCAAAACTAGTGCAATCCCACAAAAAAAATTTGCATTTTCTGCACAGGCCCTCAGTTTTTTTTTTTTTTTATGAACAATACTGCAGAAGTATTCCTCTGGAAAGAAAACAAGTCAAGTGTCATTGCTTAAGGTGTTTTAGTGGCCAATATAGAAACTGCTAAAGCCTGCACTCCAACTTCCAAATCTAGCCCCAGATAAAATACTTTTTCCGCCTATACCTCCTTCAGAATTAAAGCAGTAGGCAGTGTAGTGTCCTGAGCCAAATCCTTTCCCATGATGCATTACTACAGCAGATAAATCATAGATAAAACATTCTGGTCTGAGGGCTTTCAATGACTCCATGCAGCAGTAAGGCTCCATGTTCAAGATTTCTTCAAAGCCCACATGAACACCAATCTTCTCCCGGTTATTACGTCCTGACCACCTGTGAACAAACCAGGGTAAAATTAACAAAATCAAAGAAAAATAACCATGTACTAGGTTTAGACAGTCTTAAAAAAAAAAAGAAAAAAAAAAGCCTCAGTGTATGGAATACAAAGTATCATGTATAATAAATAATGTAAATAGCAAATGTTTTCAATGCTGAAGTTGGCTATACATGCAGGAATTCAGGCTTATTTACTAAATAGGTCCAGTTAGGTTTTAAAATATTTGCCTTCTGTAATTAAACCATAATACAGGAAGAGTATTAATTTTCAGAAAGAAATTTATGGCCCTATGACATTTTCCTCCTTTTAACAGATAAATTCAAGGCACCAAAAGATTCTTAATTCTGTATTGTCTTGCCACAGCATGAGAAGGGTATCCCAGAAGCTAGACTGTTCTTGGGAGACATAATCTCTATCTTACTTGGCCAGGTGTGAAGGAAAAGAAGAACCAAACAGGGCCCCTCTATTTCCTCATAATACCTCAGACCTTTTCAGACTAAGAAAAAATAGGAACTGTGACTCTTCCCTGTGTGTAAACCAGCACAACACTTATTAGTAACAAAACTCAAACAATGCCCATGTATTGTCATTTTCTCAACATGTTGGTCATGCTTCCCAGTACCGGATCTAAGCATAGCAAGCAATGTTTTTGTCATGTAAAGTATGAGCTGATTACAGGGGGAAATGTAAAATATGGTAATTCTTTCAAGAGATTATAATCTATTTAGGGTAGTGTCATTTAGAGACAAAAGACAGATGAAAATGGTGGTATTAAAAAACTAAAACATAAGATTAAAACAAACTCGCAGAGAAGAAAGGAATATACACAGGTTATATGAAGGAAAAAAATTAATGTGAAAATGATTCTTAGTACAATATAAAATAGTATGGAACTAAAGGTGAGACCTGCACATTATATCATTTGCTGGACTAGTAGTTATATCCCAACCCTTCCCTATGAAATGCATAAAAGATCCTGTATCCAATGCACCTTTAACTTTAGTAAAGATGGAAGACGTAAAATAATGGGACCTGCTTAACACGAGAAGTTCTTATCATTCTCACTTTTACTTTATCATAAAATTCAAACTTTAAATTGTTTAATTATGCTAAATACTTGTAAACTATCTACGTAGAAAATATTCATTCCTATTGATGAGTACCCAGTTTTTTCTGCTGAAATACAGTAAAAGGACAAGAACAAGATAACATTATACCCAAAATTCATAATGGTTTACGTCTGAGGAGAGGGGAAGGGAATAGGAGGACTAGGAGGCCCACACAGGGAGCATCTAAGCTACTAGAAATATTCCATTTCTTCTGCTTCTTCAAAGAGCTCCTGTGTGCCCTTCCTTAGTCCCATTATCCCTTCTGTCTTTTAGATACTCTATATATTTTATATGCTGAAAAATACAATAGTACTTTTTTAATAGATAAAAGAAAAAGATAAATGTGATGGGTAAAGGCAGCATAAACAAAGTCTCTGAATCAGAAATAAACCAAGGCATGAAGGGTCAAAAATGTTTTAGGCAGAAGAGCAGAGAGTCAAATAGGTTTATATTAACGAGAGCTTCAAATGCCAGATTAAATAGCAATTATGAAGAACAGGAAGTACTTCAAGAGTTTATACTAGCCAATTAAGTATCAGTTTAAGTAACAAAAATTGAAATCCTTTCAATTCTGTCTTTACAGAATCTCACATATGTTCTCACTCTCCATGCTCCCTGACCCTTGTTATCTGGCCCTGGAATACAATATTAACCTCGTAACTAATCTTCCTGTTTTCAGTCCACTTGATTTTATACACAATGGCAAGTCTCACCTGACTTTTCACTTTCGTTGTATACCCTTCCCTGTTCCTTCCTCCATACCTCTGTTCAGGTTGCTCCCTTAGACTAAGGTACTCTTCCTCCTGTATACACCCACTCATTCACTTAATAAATATTTTTGGGCATCTGCTATGTACAGAGCTTGGTTCTGGGACTTGGTATACAGGAATGAAAAAGAAAAGATCTCTGTAATTACTGAGCTGTTCCACTGGCAGGGGAGATAAATAACTCTTAATTTCAGACAGTAGTTTTTGCCATTAAGCAAAATAGGGTAATGTGAGGGTTGGTCAGGGGAGTCCTCTCTAAAGAGATGACCTATGAACTGAGACTTGAATGATATAAAGCCCCCTATGCCATTAGAGAGGCTTTGGGAACATTTAGACATCAGCTAACTCCCTCCTCCAAGTCTCAGATAAATCAATTTGTTTACAGTTGTGATACTTAGTATTTCTATGTCACCATTATTTCTGTGCATGCCCTACTATAATTTTGAGGAAAAGATTCTACTTTATATTCCCCAAAGAATATAAAACAACATCTTGCATTAAAAAGCACTCACATTATATTTGTTCACTATCCCTTATTGAAATAGCACATTAAAATTAACTGATTATCTCTGGGGAAAGGGACTGAGAGGAAAGAGGTACTTCTACTTTGGGCTTTTACTTTACCTTTTGTAATGTTTTAAAATTTTAAACATGTATTCCTTTGTTAAAAAAAATTAAACCATGGTCTCAATAGTTTGCAAATCACAGCACATAAAGTCACTTCTCATTCCTTAAGAGAACAGCAAGCTCTGAGGTTAACATGGTTATTGCAAGGTATAAAACCATATGCTTTGATTAATCAACAGATTTGACAACTAATTTCACCTAATATATTTCTGAAGACTAGAGTTTGTTTTTGTTTAACTGCTTTGAATTGAACTGCTGCACCTTGGTTCAAATATTTTCCAAGGATGAAGCAATTGAGCCAAATACTCTGTAAGTTATAGATTAAAAAATTTTACACCTACAATATGCTGAATAGTAAACATTGTAAGTAGAAACTTACTAGGAGAATAGTATTACTCGGCTGACCAAAATGTGATCAGCAAAGCATTCTACAAAGGAATGCTAATCAGGTTAGTTATTGAATATGGTATCTACTGGTCAAGGCTAGAGACAATGACAGAATTTTTTCCCCTTAAAATAAAAAGCAGAAGTAGACATAAGTCATCTACTAGCCAGGTATATAGTATTAACATATAATTTATCATGTGTTAAGTTCTGAAGCACCATAAGAATGAGGAATGATCCAGTTAGAAGTGTGTAGTTGGAAAGCAACTAGTACTACTACTACTACTAACCTGAATCGTTTGAGGTGTAGTCTGAGAACCTGAGGTAGGTGGCAAATCATAAGCTGTTTTTGGGCTTCTGTGAGTACAACTGGTTTTGTGGAAAACCTTCTACGCTTTGCTGTGATATCAAAGACAGAATGAGAATCAAATTTAAGGACACAGGAAAAGCTGAGTAAACTTTTAAAATAATTCACACATGTATTATCACTTAAATATCTACTGTTATAGACATTGCACTGTGCTGGAGCTAAAGACATGGCCTTGCCCTGTCTTTATTCATTTGATATACTTACAATTTTTTAAAAAAATGTATGAACTAGTCAAGGTGGACAGATATGTAAACAATTAATGACTTAATATAACTTTGCAAATAAGGCACCAGAATGATATAGTGCTATAATATTTTTAAATGAATTTGGCTATGACAAATAGGAAAAGTTGAAACTCTTCCTAAACATAGTTTAATACTCTTACCAAACTCTCAATTTAAAGGCTGCTTGGTTGGTTCATTTATTGAGTCAAATCAAGATCCCAGAGGGGCATGGAGCCTTATTTCCCAGAACACTCCTCCCAAATTCCTGGGGACCCACCCAATCCCTGGTGGCAAAGCCTAAGAAAGCAGGCTTTTACTGGCTCTGCATCTGAGGCTCCCCTTAGTGTCTTGCTTTTGCTATTTTAGCACAAGATCTTAAACAAGTGAAATTTAGGATTCCTTTTGTTGTCCCCTCTGCTTCTCTAGAATTGTGTCCTACAGTCTCTGGCTGGGCCACTGGCTAACAAAGTTCGCTCTTGATGTCCAGGAGCTGTCCTGTAATGTGTACACCAGCTCTGACTCCAGCCATGGATTCAACAGCTGCTTTCCGTGTAGAAGGTGGAATCAGTCTATCATGAAAGTGACCTCTAAGCCATCTCCACTTGCCACCAGAAGCCCTTCCTTCAAGGTCTATGACCCCTGAGATCCAGGTATCCAGCTGCTGCTGAATGTCCTGGATCTACTTTTGGATGATCTCCCAGAATATATGGTCCAAGTATAGCTAGACAATGGATGTCTACTCTTTGACTTATAATTTTAAGCATTTGCCTTTTATGTATTAAAGCAACTAATCATTTGGGTCTTCATTTGGTAGACCCAGAAGACACACACAAACATGTTATAAAACTATATTCTGCACTCATTTATAATATTGTTCTAACTCCCAGATTTGGTGATGAAAAGCACCTATGACCATTCACATTCGTGTCCAAGAAAAAAAGGTACCTCACCATACAAATTTGATAAAGGTTCATTTTTCCCTAACCTTATAAATCTTAGGCTCCTTAAAAGAGTTCATACTAGACAGCACTTAGAAAACAATGCTGGTATAAGTCAACTGATGTGACATTTCTTCAATGCTGGAACATCCAATGTTTCTTTAACGCTACCTCATGAGTTTAGTATCGAAAGCCCTAAAATCATTTTTTCAGAAGTGAAAAGTAGGAAGAATACCTGGAAATATACAGTGTAAACACTAAAACGCCATGTATACATTACTAGAGGAAATAAAGACAAAACAGATTCGATATGGTTTTATACACCATTCCCCTGGACGATAACGCTTCGCTTCTCTTTAATTGCAATGACTGTTTCATCCCCCAGTGTTAGGTGCCTGTGTCCACCTCTATTAGAGAGCTTATCATAGTAGACCTTAATTGTCTGTTTCCTCCATTAGGTATGTGAGCACCTTGAAAGTGTCTTACCTCTGTCCATAGCAACTAGAACAATAACTAATACATAAGATATTGTAAACGGTTTTTGAATAAACCTTTGCTTTTATGAAGCCAATCTCCACAGCAGCAGTGCAGCTACATATTATTTCCTATTATAAAGGTATGTATACTCACATATATATATGTAATATATCAACATTTTGATATGTAGCAAAAAGACTTAAAGCAAACATTTCTTTCGGTATTAAATAACATATTTTCCTTTTACTATTACCCTTTGCTACTTTATTCTGCCTTACATATTTAATTAAAATTTTATTTTATGAGTCTTCTCCGCAACTGACTATAGGATCAAAAAATTTTTTTAATGTCATCAGTAGGGCAAAACATACACAGAGTTCACAAATGCCAGTTATAAAGTAGATCTAGCCCAGTTTCTTTTGATGAAGTTTTTTTTTTTCAAGCTTCCTCTCATTTGTGTTTCTCTTTGCTAATCTTAGAAAAGCAGAGAGAATATATAGTCTCTACTTACAGTTACACTGGTCACATACGTAGATTTTTCCTTCTAAAGCTTCTGTTTCTGTGAATTTGGCCAACATTTCAGTAACCAGACATGGCTGGGAAGCAGTATCTTTTCCACTACATTGGTATCTTTCTGGAAATTCCAGTGACAAGTCCCAGAAAGGTTCTATGGTATTTGATTTGTTGTCACATGCAAGACATGTAACCTGCAAATAAAAAGTTTCTCAGATTACAATTCTTCTGTGAAAACATTTACTCCTGTCACTAGAGGTCACTGCCAATAAAAAAGAAAATGCACTATCAAAATTCCAAATAATCTGCTTTATATTTTCAGGCAATTTTTTTATTATTATAATTTTCCTTCCAAAAGATTCATTAAACCCATTATGCATTGGTGGGCTTTAACTACTAGGCATTCAAAAAGCTCCAAGGACATTAATCAAATTTGAATTTAGGTAAAAAACCAAATTGTGGACTCAATCAGATATACATTATATATGTGTGTATATATATATGATATATTTATGTGCATTTGTGTTTAGATAATTAGACGAGGTTATTTGCCCCTTTCCTTCTTTGTCTTTCACTAATTTTTCTCTCCCCAAATCCCTGTAACCTCTTAGCCATGATACAAGTAAAATATTACTAGTATATTTTAAAATACAGTATATTAGTATATATAAACTTTAAAGCCATACCAACTGAAAATTTCAAAAGACAATACATTTGACAAATAATGATACCTACTTAAAGCAAACATTGCTATATTAAAATCCTCATCAAAATATAGGAACCACAAAGAATATGGATCTGTTCTAACAACTTAC